ACACAGGACCCTCCCTGGTGGCACAATGGGTTAAAGCACAACACTAGGAAGCTATCTGCAGTCGTTTTCCTGCCAGGGAGGGGACCTACGTGACTCAGCAGACCTCACCTGTCTTGCCTGCTGCTCCCCTCAGTGGTATACTTCATCAGCGGCCTGTTCTGCTCCGCATGCTTTCTGTTGAATCCTCTTACGTCCCCTGCGCCTCTGGCCTGTACTGCAGTTCTGTATCGATAAATAAATAAATTAAAAAAAAAATTTAAAAAACTGCAACGTAGAAGAAAATGTGGGGTTGTGATATCACTATTTTTATTTTTATTTAGCAGTTGCTTCAATAAAAATAAGGATCTGGTGGATACTTCAATGCCCAACAACACGTGTGGATTAAGTGTCCAGGGCAACATATACACCTCTGAAGGCTGAGAATTAGGTGTTGGTCAGAATTAGGTGATTCTGACAGCTCGGGATAGAAATGAAACTCATGTTACACCATGAAAAGACAAAAGGGAGGTGATGTCTACTTGATGGCCAGGCAAAGTTGTGTGAAAGTGTTATATGCAAAACCATTGAAATTGGAAGAGATTTTCTCTGAAATTGTGCTGTCATCCCCAGAACAACAACAAAAATATGACAAGTTTAGGGTCAATGTCAGTCATTAATGTACGAGCATGCTAAAAGTCAAGATGACTTTTGTTTGCATCCATGGACATGTAATGTCTCTGCCAAGTGACAAGTCTTGGGGAAGCAAGTGTGATGCAACAGGTGAGGGGTGTGGCCACTCCACACCAGGTTGTCCAGGTAATTCTGGACTGACTTTTTAGAGAAGAAAATTAACTATAACCTCTAGCTAGATGAAGAAATTAGATGTGAAGAGTGAACTCACTGCATGGCTAAAAGAAATTAACAGTTATCTGTACCTGGGAATGAAAATTTCCTATGGATAAAATTAATGGGATAGTCAAGAGGAGAATATTGGTAGCCATAAAAAGTTTAAGGCTTTCCAGTCCTAATATCACTGTGGCAAAATGAAAAGGCAGGAAAATCTGGGGACCGTAAATGACAGATAATGAGTTAAGCATATGTGTGCATGTGTGTGCGTAGCATAAGACTCGTGAGAAAATGGGCAACATATGAAGAGTCCTTTTGAAGGAGAAGAAATGTAAATGGGCTGTAAGAAATGATTAGATACTCAAATTAGCAAACAGCCAATAAATACACATAAAAACAGGAAGCTAACATTCAAGATGTCACATATATACATACATATGTGTGTGAGTATGTCCTGGTTAAAAGTGCTATGAGATCGAAATATATTGTTTTCCTAATATGTACGTGTGTGTGTGTGTGTGTGTATACACACACACATAATATGCAAAGGTCCAGGAATGAGGGCAATGTGGAAGTAGGAGTAATTAGACACTCCTTGCTGGCACTCACTTGCTGCATGTCTCTGAGTAGTTTATATAACCTTCTATGCTATAAACTGAAGATATCATAATCCTTGTCTGACAGGCTATCAGGAAGATTGGCTGAGAATTCTGCTCTCCCCAGCAGTGACACTTCCAGGAACTTTTTACTAATTCCAGGAATTTTGCAGCAGTAAGCAAGCGAGGCATGCTTAAATGCATTACGATGCATTTAGAAGATAAAGTATTACACAGATTTATTGTACAAGACTATGTCCTGGTCAAAAGTGCTATGAGATCGAGATATGTTGCTTTCCACTGTAAAGGAAAATAAACACTTTTTTATATACAGATAAAAATGGCTAAAATAGTGGTTCCTTTCTTTGTTATGGTTTTCTCTAGGTTGACAAGGGGATTTTTTTTTTAAATAAGAAAACAAAAGATATAAGAAAAAATGTGAAAAATGGTATTGAGACTAAACAAAATCAAACAAGACAAAATGCTGGTAACGTGATCTGGGGCTGTCACTCAGCATATTTAGATCACTGGAAACTGTACTTCAGGGACGGTTGGCAGGCGCTGCTGCACGTGGGCGGTGGGCCCGGGACGTCTGGGCGTCTGTCTGTCTGTCTGATGGAGTTTCATCAGGCATGTCCCTCTTTTCCTCTCTGAAGCAGCATGCTACCTGCCTTGAAATCACGGTGGCAAATACAGAGGCAGGCAAATCTGGCACCTGATCTCAGTTCCCCACCCCTAAGCCCCCCTTTGACAACGTCAGGCCTGCCAGTTTGGGGAGTAGCCCTCGTTGGCTTACCCTTATTAACTTATTCTCGTGCCCTGACTTCAGACTCACGTGATCAGAGAGAACATCAGACTCATGTGATCAGAGAGAACATTCACTGAGCTTCCTGAGAGACCGAAGCCCCTGTCTTGGGCAGGAGTCTGTAGATGGCTCTCTGGATGGGGCAGAGCACTGAGGGGCTGAGTGGTGGTGAGGAGGGGCACCTTCTCCACCCTACCATGGAAAGGTGTGAAACTGGGGCCTCAGTGCTGCAGGCTCACACCTAGTCCGAGGTTAGAGCTTCTGCTAGACTTCCCAAGCTCCTGGGTCAGGCATCCCCTCTATCATTTAAGCGAGCTCGAGTTGAGTTCCTCTGCCATTTACTGCACACATTGCTCTGGCACAATACTAAATAGATGGTTCACATTTCAGTCCAGAAGATTTGATTGCCATTTCCATGTCTTTGGAGACTTCTGACAAGAGCTTAAGGGATATAAAATATGTTTTTACCTATTGTCAAGATAGTATTTTCAATACATTAATTTAAAAAGATGGATCACGGCCCTCCCTGGTGGCGCAGCGGGTTAAAGCACTGCACTGAGAATCTAAAGCCACTTCCACATGAGTTCGATTCCCGCAGGCCCCGGAGGTGATCCACATGGCGCGGCAGACCTCTCCTGACCCGCCCGCTGCTCCCCTCAGCAGTGTACTTCGTCGATCTGCCTGTTCTGCTCCCCACTCTGTCTCTGGTGAAGCCTCTCACTGCCCCTGCGCCTCTGGCCTGTACCCCAGTTCTGTATGTATAAATAAATAAATCTTTAAAAAAAAAAAAAAAAACCACAGCACTGAGAAGCTAAAGCCACTTCAGCATGAGTTCGAATCCCGCCTGCCCCGGAGGTGACCACATGCGGTGGCAGACCTCTCCTGACCCGCCCACTGCTCCCTTCAGCAGTGTACTTCGTCGATCTGTCTGTTCTGCTCCCCACTCTGTCTCTGGTGAAGCCTCTCACTACCCCTGAGCCTCTGGCCTGTACTCCAGCTCTGTATGCACAAATAAATAAATCTTAAAAAAAAGATGGATCACTTTTAGAAGGATTTTTAGAGAAGTTTGTCCCCATCAGCTGGTCTAACCTAAGCAGGGGCGGTCAGATGATGGTGACTGAACCCCAGATTCTGCGGCAGCTATTTCATTCCCCTTGTGAGAATCAGGCAGGCCCACTGCTCACCACATTTTGGTGACTGCTCTACGTGTTGTGTGGTGACAGTGCAGAAAATGCCTTACTAGCTAACTGCAGACATCATTACAAATAGCGGTTGGCATTTGGTGTAAGTTACTGTTTGAGGAAATTTTCTTTAAATATCTAGTAAAATGATAAACAGGGTCCAACACTGAGAAAAAAATCCAAGCAATTTGCAAGATTTGATTATGTAGATGAATAAGCTTCAGTTCTTCACTGGAGGGAAGAATTGAAGTGGGGACCAGGGTACATCTTTCTAAGCTGCTTATAGGGTGCCCAGATCATGGGAATGCTGCTCAGATCCTAAGGAAACTGATGTTATTAGGACAACGGTATACACATATTTCCACTCTTCTCTAGAGGGTGAAGATCAGCAAGAACTACTAAATGATAAATCCTATGTTTCAGATTAGGATTGCACTAGCAGAAAATACCAAAATATACATACATAAAATAAACATAAGCGTTCACATACCTGCAAAAACGTCATGCAAAGCATGTTTTTTTTTTGTCTTTCTGCTCCACCATCCTAGCACTGGCTTCTACCCTCAGGGTCACAGGACAGCTGCAGTTGTTCCTGCTGTCACATCCATGTCCCAAGAATGAGGAAGGAAATATCTCTATAGCTGAGTCAGCTCCTTTTAACTAATCTTCACAGAAGCCTTACACTATTGCCTATATTTCAACTAGAATGCAGTCATGTTGCCTCAGCAAGCTGCAAAGGAATCTGGAAAATGTAGTCTTTTAGGGAACAAAATTTGTTGGATTAGTTAGGCAGTTTTACCCAAACTGAAGATAAAATTAGGGTTTTCTTGCTAAGTAAATAGAACAGAAAAAAGTTAAGGGCAAAAGAGAAATTCATTATAAAATAGTATTCAGGAAAATGCAAATTGGGTGCATGTGCATTCAGAAACATACATCAAAGTCTCTAATTTCTGAACTGTTTTCAATGAAAAGTGTCAAATAGGCCATGCCAGCTCTTAGTTTGTGACTCCTTCAATTAGAATGGCAGATACCCCAATCTTATTTTCGCAGGACAGCTACACCCCATGAGGAGTTGTCCCTGGAATATAAAGGTATCTTATGGAGATGTAATTTGGTCTCATATCTGCTCCTCTGTCTCTGTCTGCCTTTGTTTATCTTTTTTTTTTTTTTTTCCATTGTGCTGAGTCACACTTGTAGCTACAGAAGGAGGAGACTTTCTGTTCTGGTTCTGTGATCACAATCTTCTTACCTAGTTAAGCAAATGAGCAGTGAGTTGGGCCCTCCCTGGGTGGTGCAACAGGTTAGGAAGCAGCAATGCAGGCTAGCCTCAGTCACTTCAGTGTGAGTTCGATCCCTGGCCCCGGAGGTGACCCACATGGCATGACAAACCTCTCCTGACCTGTCCGCTGCTCCCCTCAGCAGTGTACTTTGTCATCTGCCTGTTCTGCTCCCCACTGTGTCTCTGGTGAATCCTCTTAATGCCCTTGAACCTCTGGCCTGTACCCCAGTTCTGTATGCATAAATAAATTAAAAAAAAAAAAGAGCAGTGAGTTGCTGGACACCAGTGCCAGATGCTTGAGGTATATTCTTTTATTTACTCACAACAATTCTGCCCAGCAGGTCCTTCCAATGTCCCTGTTTGAGGCTCAGTCCTTGGAGCAGGGCCACCAGTTCAGTGAGCATCCAGCTGCCGTGTGCTTTGCCTTAGAATGAGCACTAGATGTAGAGAGACAGGTGAAAAGCAGGGTGTAGGGAAGCCAGGATCCGCCCATCTGCTGGCACCAGAATCCTTCCAGGCCCAGCCCACACCGTGTAGTTGAGCCATCTGATCTAGAAGTGGACAAGTGGCCCAGGGCCTCTAACTGTGCCTCATACTCCGGTCCTTGAGATGGAGGCCAGGGAGCTGGTCAGTAGTGCCATTCCCAGGACTTCAGTCACCTGCACTGCTGAGCGGACTCCTTCAGGCTGAGCTGCTGGCAACCAACTCACAGCCACCTGGAGGGAGGTAAGAGGGAGTCAGCATGGCGGGAGCTGGAGCCTTGAGGCTGCAGTGTCAGGGTGTCAGGGAGGCCTTTTCACACCTCGGCCAATACACTTCACGGGCCACCTGGGCTGGGTTCCTGCTGTCACAGCCCGGATGTCCGCAGCTTTTTTACAGGTATGTCCTGCTGTTTGGAGGTTGGCGGCAGGCTTCACGTATGAACCACCTGCATTTTACCTGGTTTCCCTAACTGAATAAATCTTTGAAGAGGAGTTCCCTTTTTATGTCAGAAGTTGAAAAGAGAGGAGCTTTGAGCATCCAGACTTGGTTTTGAGGCAGCTGCTTCAGAGACAGCCGTATCCCAAGCCTCGAGAGTGGCCCCACCAAGGTCCTCCCTGGGGAAGGACTTTCTTCAGGCTGGGGATCTATCATATCCCTTTAGTACTTGGCATCGTGTGTTATGATAGTGCTGGGCAGGTTATTTTTTGGGCCTGGAAATGTTTAAATTTTTTCCATATAAATGACAGTTGCTTCTTCATTTCCCATCATTCAACTTAGGAAAGTTTTCAGATAGAGGGGGAACCGCTGTGGGGCAAGCTGCATGCATACTCACTTTCACACCAAGGGGGGCCTGGCTACAAGGAAAGGGGGGTGGCAGAGGAGGATTTAAAGTGTGCAGATGGGAAATTAAACAAACAGAAGTAGTGTGTTTTCTAAAGTGAGGGGCATTTTCTCTGTGTTTTACATACACAGATGACAAAGGAGCCCTTTGGGCATATTTCCTGGCCAGGGATTTGAGCCTATGCTTGATGCAGCTCTCATTTAAAACATCTCTGCTTTGGGGTGGGGGTGGAGGGGGTCCCAAGGAGGGGAATGCAAGTCAACTTCTGAGAGGGGGTGAAGTGGCATTTTGAGTTAATGGGGGAAAGATAGGTCATTCAGAAATAGTACTAGACAACAGTACTAGAAACAAAATAAAAAGTGAATAAACACTTCAATTGTATATTATCTAAATGAAATCACAGAGATTTAGTATTAAAATATAAAATAAAACAAAACCATAAAGGTATTAACAGGAATTCATAGTATATTTTCACTTGAGAGGGATAAAATATCTTTCTAGCATAGACATAAAGTACAGAACAAAGTTGGGGGAAAAAAACTAATAAAAATAACCACATACTCTATTTTTTTTTCTCTTTATGGCTAAACTTCCTATAAACGACCTCAAAAGGCAAGTGTCAAACTAGGAAAAACTTTTTTTTTTTTTAAGATTTATTTATTTATTCATACAGAACTGGGGTACAGGCCAGAGATGTGGAGGGTGAGAAGATTCACCAGACACAGAGTGGGGAGCAGGACAGGAAGATCAACGAAGTACACTGCTGAGGGGAGCAGCGGGCAGATCAGGAGAGGTCTGCCGCGCCATGTGGATCTCCTCCGGGGCAGGCGGGGATCGAACTCATGCGGAAGTGGCTTAAGCTTCCTGGTGCTGTGCTTTAACCCGCTGCGCCACCAGGGAGGGCCAGTAAAAACTATTTTAGTTTTTACAAATATGGCTAATATGCACAGACTCCAAAAGATCAACAGACCAACAATCAAACAGAAAAATGGAAAACGTGTGAATCAACGAGGCATTTGAATAAATGCACATCATTCAGGAAAAGAGAAATGCAATTTAAATTTGCATTTTTCATCTTTCTGATAGTCGTGTTTGATCATATACCATGTTCAAAACGTGTTTGGAAACAGGTGCTCCTGTGTATCCTAGTAACTTGTAAAATAACTGGTACATTTTTGAGGGGGTATTTGGCAATATCAACCAAAACACCTGTCCTTTTACCTAGGAGTCCTGCCTCTAAGAATTCGTGTACAGATCTGTTCACACACGTATGAGCTGTGTATCTAATAGTAATAAGACAGCATCGCTTGTCTTTGCCAAAGACTGGACACAATCTAAATATCCAACATTCTGCAGAGGGTTAAGTGCAAGAACAACCTGCTGCTCTTTATGTTACAAAATTAAGTTAGAGAGGACATGCAAGGAGTAGCCTGGGAAGGATCCCTAGGAGTCTAACCATGGCAGTGGTCTCTGGGGAAGGAACTAGAGGTTCTGGGGAATGTGAATGAGAGGGGGACCCCTCCCCACTAGTTTGGTTCTTTTATGTTCTGGACCATGTGCAAAGGTGAACTATTAAAAATACTTTCAATGATTTAAAAAGTAAGATAACTGGATTCTTCCTTCTCTTCAGGCACAGGCAGATGCAGCAGGCTTTTGCTCAGGCAGATGCCATCCCCTCTGCCCGCTGTCCTAGCTGTGTGCCGGGTGGGGACATGCCTCGTGCTCATTTGGCATCTCACACGTGAGGCTTTTGCAAACCCCCTGCCCCTGCTCCGAAACGTTCATCTCTGTGGTGTAAATTAATTAGTGCACACTGACTGATGAGTCCTGTAGCCTTTCAAAATCCTACTGGGGGTGGCAAGAGCGAAACATGTTTTCAACTGTAAAGAACTAAAGAGTCAGAGTTGTTCCCTCCCCTGCGTGTTCCGAGGTGTGCACCCACGGTGAGCAGGTTTACCACCACAGCACCTTGATCAGTTCCAGGGCATCTCACCTTACTTCTGCTCATGGCAGGCATCGAATAAAATCCCACAGTTTGCCTTCTTCATTCTACCTCGATGAAAAACAAACACCCACAGACACGGGGCCTGGAGAGAGGTGAGGCCACTGCGGGGTCCCCACCGCAACAGCCAGTGAGACACTGCACGGTGGCTCAGTCTCCATCCCAGCGTCACCGCCCTGGAGTTTCTGGCCATCGAGTCACAGCGGTAGTGGGTGGTAATGCCGTGCCAGGCCCCCAGTGGACTGTCTTGGCACTCGGCTCCTCGACTCTTCAAACTGGGCCCACAATCAGAACAGGATCCTTTCTTGTTCCACACAGATGGGCCTGGCAGAAGAAGCTCCCAGCTGTCACTCTGTAGAGGATGGTGTTGTCTTGGCACTCAAGGACCTGGCTGGAGGCCTGCAGATGTTAGGAATGAGTTCTCTTTGGTGAAGGCACTGAAGGCTGCTGGGCCCTCCTAGAAGACGTCCATCTCCTTCAGGCCCTCCCTCAGGCGGGTGCATGGTTCTGAGCAGAGACGAAGGAGCAATGTGACTCTTAAAACCCGCCAGATAGGCTGTTTTAAGGTGGGCTAAGGAAGTGCTGAGCAAGAAGCTGAGAGTGACTCCTCTGTGGAAAAGCCTGTCTGTGGACATTTGTATGTACACATGTGTGGGTGTGTATGATGTGAATGTGCATGTGTGCTTGCGAATGCATGCTGTGTCTACGTGTGAGCCCAGACACACGTGTGTGGTGTGTGCACACATAAGCCTGCATGCGCACCTGTGAGTGTAAGTGTGTGCGTACATGGGCATGATGGCGTGCATGTGTGACTACCAACACATGTTCATAAACATGCATGTAGTGTTGTGTGACTGTATGTACACATGTGAGAATGTGGGTAGGCATGTGTGTTCACCATGTACACATGACACCGGGCAGATAAGCTTCATCCCCTCCAGCTGCACACACCTGTTTCATGGTCTGCCTAAAATCCCCTTCCCAAACCAGACTGCTTCTCAGACTTTGTACACCAGCAAAGGCCCAGAGAAATCGGCCACCTGCCAAGCAAGTGAAAACATCTGTGATCCTGAAGTGGCAAACAGGGCCATTTCCTCAGGCAGAGACACTGCCTGGTGACACATGCAGCTGACCTGTCAGTGGACACGGAAACAGTTGTTTTTCCTGCACCTTTGATGCTTTGATGCCTGGGCATTCGTTTTGTGCCCGTTTCTCTGGCCCAGGAGAAAAAGATCTGTGGGCCCATGGTGGACAGGAAACACGACTGCCAGCACCCTGATTAAGGACAAGAAGGGGGAGGACTTTCTGCAAGGAGGAAGGAGAGACAGAGAGGTGGAGACCCCAAGGAGGGCCAAGGGACCTGGGAGGAGCTACACAGAGGGAGGGGAGACAGATGGGATTTTTCAAGAGGGCAAATGAGCACAGGTCCTTCTGCCTAAGGCTCTGTGAACTCGGAATCCTTCATATTCACCCCTGGTGAGCTCTGGGCTTGGACTGTGGCCTCAGGGAGACCATCAGGGGCTGACAGGGTCCTCTCATGATGGGGTAGAGCTTGCAGGCCAGGTGTCCAGAGAAGCTATGCCTCTACTCTGCAGGGGCCTTTGGGAAATGATCTCCCTTCCAGGAACTCTCTCTCCTGTAAAAGGCACAGTTGGGCTCCTCACTGGCAAAGTGGACTATGGAAGTGTTTATCTGAAGGGGAAGAAGCATTTGGATGCAGAAGCCAGAGTGAATTTATTTATTTATTTATTTTAAAAAAGATTTATTTATTCATTCATTCATACAGAACTGGGGTACAGGCCAGAGGTGCAGGGGCAGTGAGAGGATTCACCAAAGACAGAGCGGAGAGCAGAACAGGCACATCTGGGAGGCACACTGCTGAGGAGGGCAGCGAGCAGGCCAGGAGAGGCCCGCTGAGCCATGTGGGTCACCTCCGGGGTATAGTGGGGATCACCCATGCAGGAGGCTCTAGCCTCCTGGTGCTGTGCTTTAACCTGCTGCACCACCAGGGAGGGCCCCAGAGTGAATTTATTAAATGAGAAAATAGATGGGGACATGTGGAAACTTTTCCTCAAAACCCAAAATATTGTCACAATCACATTAGCAGGAATCGGGCTCCCAAAATATGCATGGGGGTGGAGAGCATCAGCAACCAACGGAAAGAAGGCTGAAGGGATCACCACTGGCATGCGCCTGTGAAGGTGTGTGGGTGTGTTGTGTGTGTGTGTGTTGGAGGTGAAGGGGGAACTGGAAGGAGCCTGAGTGGTATATGGAAAGTAAAAGCACGAAACACGCAGCTCAAGCAATTGTTTTTCTCCTGGAGGCTAACATTCACGGGCAGGAAGCCAACAGCCACATTAGGATAAGAAATGTAATCTGTTTATAATAAG